CAAGTTGCTGAAGTTTGGCATAATTCCTTACTCTGCCTCAGTTTCTCTGTAACTCCCCTCGCACGTTTTTGTCTCCAAACTCTGATCTGCAATTTTTTCTAAATACTTGTACAAATGTATATTGCTCAGTATTCTGTCATCTAAATCATTAATAACTACTGTGAGAGCTGCTTGTTCATTTGCACGATATCAGTTTGTGTCCACTGAACAGCTGGATCTGAGACGCTGTCAGACTCAAACTCACATTTCCAGCTACCAGAATGAATCTTCCACTCTGTGGGAGATAGTGAAGGCTTAGACCCCCATTCTAAGAGAGGTGAGAGATCTGTGTGCAATTGTGTCATCCAGATTCAATGTTACATATTACCCTGATCGGTAATGTATAAAATGCTTGTAGTTCTGTTATTACTGAGATCTTGCTGATTAATTGACTGACTACAACAGAAATGTTTGGTTCAGTGAGTTGGAGCAATGTGTGTTATACACTGACTTGAATGATTAAAACCCAGTTTAATGTGCTCCAGTGACAGCCCCGGTGAAATATTGCAAATTAATTATCACAGCCAGCAACAAAATGCTTCCATCAGCAGCGAACAATATTCCACAGCATCAAATAATGGTTAATATTTTATCCTCTGCTTGCCGCATGAGCTGAACAACATCACGAGTTATTTAACAACAGACTTTGGCAAATTTCCTTTTGGCAAAACAAATCACCTTACAACCGAGTGCTGCTTTTCTCAGGGGGTTTGTAAAGGTGGGTGTAGTGGAGATTTACTCTGAGAGCATGTTGCCAATTTTTGTGACTGTGCTTTGTTGGTATAAAACAGCCCGAAAATCCAAGTCATAGGGGTTCCGTGGCCCCCATTATTTGCACATTGGGATTGTACTGTCCCCATGTTCTGTCAGGGTCCCTGTGTTAACATCTATGGATTATGCCTGATTGATAGGCCCTTTGATTTTAGAAAGAAGGGGAATAAGGCAAGGTCCTCCTGCAAAATTGGTCTACAGCTGAGCATATTGCATTCTGTGCTATCTGCACTCCCAGTGCAAGTAGACAGCCCTGCACTGGGTGTCCTTAACGGGAGCCTGAGGATTGTTTAGGCCTAAACAGTGTTTCCTGCCTTAAGGTGCAAGAGTTGTAATCTTGGATGGATACTCAATATTGGGGACAACTGCAAATCAACCTGACTATCCCCACGCCCCCTCCCCATCACTCGCATGAGGTCTCTGTGTGCTCCCTTCAGCAATGCCAAGCACCCATTGCCACCAGTCTCCTCCAATACTCTCCTTCCACCCTCACCACCAGGAACCAATCAGCCGCTACCTCTGGACTGGGTGCTCAACACCTCCCCCACCCTCAGGAAGAGGCAGGCGAGACCAGTGGACCCTGCCCCATAAGGTGGTAGCAGCAAGTATACCATCAACTTGGGTCCAATCCCTCATTCCATCTCCTGGGGCATCACAACAACAAAAAAAGCCAGATGCCTAACCTTCAAAGAGAGTCGAAGGTTACTTGCCTGGGGAGATGTGTGACCAATAACCTGGCAGTGGATGTGGGTGTGGGGGGCAGAGTTGGGGCGCAGGGTGTAGGTGGGGTGGGGGGGAAGTGAATTAAATTCATTTTGAGTTGCATGTCGACACAGCATGTTATGTTCACTTTCATTTCACTCTCAGAGAGGAGGGGTAAAGGGCTATTCAACTGCGTGTGGGACAGGAGGCACAATGTCATGTGACACCTCCAGAAGTGTACCCATCTAGATTCAGCTACAGGCTGGGAGACCGACAGGGCTCAGTAAGGGTTAACAAGATGTAAAAGCTCCCGTCCCCATGAGGGTTGTGTGTGTGACAGTTCCACTGTTGCTTTCTCCCGGTCAAGGAGATCTCATGGTTTGTACCTCTTCCCCGAAGGCGAGACTCACAGTCCTGACTGACAACGCCTCCCCACCCTCCTCCATTCCACCCCAGCTGATGGATACAGAGTGTGAGACCATCATCTCCCAAAATGAACAAAATCAGCCCTGAGTCTAAATGTGAGGGACGAGAGACCTTCTGCACGGTCACAGAATGAGGGAGTCGCAGAATAGAAATGGTCACAGTCTAAAGATACAGGGCAGGCCATTTTGGACTGAGATGAGGAGAAATGTCTTCATCCCGAGAGTGAGGAGCCTGTGGAATTCTCTGCCATGGAAAATAACTGAGGCTGAAACATTGAATGTTTTCAACAAGGAGTTAGGTCCAGTTCCTGGGACAGAATGGATCAGAAAGTATGTGGAAAAAGCAGGAACAGGAGCTGAGTTGGATGCTCAGCCACCATCATATTGAATGGTATAGCAGACTCAAAGGGCTGAATGGCTTCCTCTTGCTGCTACTTCCTGCGGTAGCTGTGCCTGAGAGTGAAGAGAGGGAGGTTAGTCAGGCTCCCACTTGATGACAGTGTCCGGAACCACACAAGTGGCATTATTCTGTGATGCCTCCCACAGAGAAACAGCCAAGTGCATTTATCCCGAGAAATGGATATTGCAGTGAGATACTGAGGGGAACCTTTGCTTTTATCTAGTGGAATAATCTCTACAGGGTGTGGACAGGAGGAGAACAGTCTATGAGGGATGAAGGAAAAAAAGAATGCAAGTATCTGCTAAAAGTGGGATAAAGGGGTGCAGAGAATCTCACTGATAGCTTGCTCAGTTAACTCACTAAGTGCAGTGCCTGTGTTCAATTTATTTAACTGCCCAACTAATAAAACAGCACAAAGGGCGCCAACAGCATCTGATCGAAGAAGTGATAGGTTTCAATTGCTGCTTTACTAATAGATTCAGGATAATCTCTGGGCCCTGATTAATTTTGATAACTGTGTAATACATCATGTTTCCAGAAAAATGCTGAGAGGATTATGTGGACAGTAAATCAGCAGATTGAGCAGCAGTGGAACTGGGGGAAACGGGGTACTAGGAGTGGGATTGCACTGAGTGTCTCAGACAATGTGTCTCTTAATGCTGCTTCATTCTGTGTAAGGAAACACATCTTTGTGATTCTGCGAATGATCTGATTTTTCACCGGACTCAGGAGCCTGTTAAAAAATTCCAGATTCCAGAAGTGCCGACCCCATTCTGGAGATTCTCATTTTCTGTAATGTCTCTTAAGGATGCAGATGTGTTCATGTCAGAAGCCCCAATCTGACTGTGTCCATTGCAGAGATTGGCACATCCTATTCTCCTGTAATCACTGAGTCAAGCCAGGTGTTTAAGGACTTGACATTTGTGGCACCTCAGAAGTGTCTTCATGAGACAACCTTTAGAAGGATACATTCAAGAGTTACTCTTCATGTCCTCATAACAGGTTGTGTCCAACACCTACCCTCATGCCCATGCCCTCAGGCTTGGCTATATTTTTTTCCATGCCCATTTGTCTATTATACATTGAATGATACAATCAACATTATACTGTCAAAAAGATGTGTAAACAAAAACTGAATGAACAGTCATTCATTGATATTTATTTTAAAAATCCTTTTTGCAACAGCCCAAAAGAAGTAGCAATTATTCAGATGCTTAGAACTATCAACAGCTGAAACTGCAAGCACCTGAAACCTCGAACTAAATTGTGTAAATACACACTGTGAAACTGATAGCAGAGGGCTTGAGCTGTCAATCCAGCAAGGGTTCAGGTGTTTCAACAGTGTAATGGATGCCTGGAATCTAAACAATGAAACTATAGAGCAGATACTAGACAGTGAAATTCCAATGTATCGTTTGCTTATTCAGCCAACCTGACATGATGGATTGAATGGGCTCTTTCTGTGCTATAATTTTTCTGTAGTTTTACGGAGAGTGTGCAAGTGTGAGTGTTGAGTGATTGTGTGTGTGTGAATATAAAGTTGTGTGACTGTAAGTGAATTTGTCTGTGTGCAAGTGAATGTGTATGTGTGAATAAGTGTGTGTATGTGTGTGCATGTGTATATGATTGTATGAGTAGGTATGTGTGTATGCATGTGTGTGTTTGTGCATGCATGTGTGTATGTTTGTAAGTGTGTGTGTGTATGTGTGTGTGTGTGTGTCTGTGTGTGTGTGTGTGTGCATGTGCGTGTGCGTGTGTGTGCATGTAGGAGTGTGTGATGAGCGTCTGTATGTGCCAGTGCATGAGTGTGAAAGATCAAGTTAGTGTTTGAGAGTAAGTGTGTTTGAGCGTGTGCGATTGTGTCTGTGTTTGAGTGTGTGTGATTGTGAGTGTCTCTGTGTTTGAAAGTGAGTGCACATTTGGACAGGTGTGGGTCCATGTGTGTGTCAGTAAGTGCGTGTTTTGGCCTCCAGCACTGTATGCTGACCCAGACAAATTGTTCAAGTGGAGACAGAAAGAGGCCATTAACCCATTGAATCTGCTTAGTCAGATCATTGCTGAAGTGCTGCTGATCTCTATTGATCCAACTTGTGTGAATCCCTCAATATTTTTACCTAAAAAGTAAATCCATTGATATCAGTCTTGAAATCTCCAACTGACCTCCAGAATCCACAATGTCTTTGTAAGGGACAGAGTTCTTGATTTTCATTCTCCTCTGAGTGATGAAGTGTTTCCTGATTTCATTCCTGGACTGCCTCTGATTGTAAGATGAATCACTCCTTGTTCCTGATTTCCCAAGCAGAGGAAACAGTTGTAGCATTTTAAATAAAAGTAAATTACTGCGGATGCTGAAATAAAAACAGAAATTGCTGGAGAAACTCAGCAGGTTGGACAGCATCTGTGGAAAGAGAGAAGCAGAGTTAACGTTTAGGGTTCCAAAGAAGACTTAAGACATTGGCTCTGTCTCTGCAGACACTACCAGACTTGCTAAATTTCTGCAGCACTTTCTGTTTTTATTTTTGCATTTAAAGCCATTTGAATTCCTCCTAACTCTAATATTATTGCAAGCTCAAAGCGACACAAGGCTCAGCTCTGACCTGCAGTAACCTCTTGCTATAGTTAGATCCAGTGTTATCTATTCAGGACATGGCCACACTAATGATATGTCTTGTTCTTACAGTATTGGCGCTGTGTCTGATGTAACTGTTGGTGGCGTGATTGGAACTGGCACCCACAACACTGGCATTCAGCATGGCATTCTGGCTACACAGGTATTAGTTCCTTTCAGACAATCAGGTTATTTATTAATGTTAAGTTAATGTTGTCCAATTATAGCAATCAGATGAGGGTCTATCAGTTCAGACAGAAAGCAATTTACCTCAGTTCTGAGATAACTCTCCTTACCTCAGTACTATTGGCTTTAAAATTAACTCAAATAAATTTAGAAAAAACCTCAATCACTAGATCTGTGAGGAGAGAAACAGTTAATCTTTCAGCTCAAAGACCTTTCACCAGAACCGGTTTATGGAACTAGTTCCTTGAACGCATCAATACTGTGTGCTTTCTAATGTAATTTAGATTGCCTCCAGCAAATTACACTTTGGGACGCAGCCTGTTGTAATTTAGGACACAGCGTGCGGTAAGAGTAGTTTTTTTCAGTTCATTCAGGGGAGTGGGCGTCTCTTGCCAGGCCAGCATTTATTGCCCATCCCTAATTGTTAAGAATCAATATTATTACTGTGTAAAAACTGAAAGAGCTGTGATTGCAGTAAATCAGAGACAAAAATAGAAGTTGCTGGAAAAGCTCAGCATGTCTGGAAGCATCTGTGGAGGGAAATCAAAGTTAATGTTTCGGGTCGAGTTTCTGCGGAAGGGTCACTCGACCCCAAATGTTAACTCTGATTTCTCACCACAGATGCTGGCAGACCTGCTGAATGTTCCCAGCAATTTCTATTTTTGTCTCATGGCTATGTGTCTGGAGTCACCTGTAGGCCAGAGAGGGTAAGATGGTGGGTTTCCTACCCTGAAGGAGATTGGTGAAGCCAATGGGATTTTACAACAATTCACTAGACTGGCTTTTTATATATTTAATTATATTGAATTCAAATTTCATCAAATGCCATGGTGGGATTCAAACCCTTGTTCCCAGAACATTAGCCTGGCATTATACATTATTGTTTCAGAGATAATAGGAACTGCAGATGCTGGAGAATCTGAGATAACAAGGTGTAGAGCTGGATGAACACAGCAGGCCAAGCAGCATCAGAGGAGCAGGAAGGCTGACGTTTTGGGCCTAGACCCTTCTTCAGAAATTCTACATTATTGGTCCAGTTACAATATCCTGACACAACTATCTCCCTTAATTTGGAAGAAACATGATTCCAGATACTCTTGATGACTAGGGTTTTCCTCACCTCATTGATGTACCTTTGTTTATTCGTTCAAAGGATATGGGCATCTCTGGGCAAGGTCAGCCATTATTGCCCATCCCTAATTGCCATTAATAAAATGGTGTTGAGCGAAGCTGTTGACATCTGAATGTCTTTTTCAGAGGGCAGTTAAGAGTTAACTACGTTGCTGTGGGTCTGGAGTCATATCTAGACCAGGCCAGGTAAGGGGATGGCAGGCTTCCTTCCCTGAAGGTCTTAGTGAACTAGAGAGTTGTTTTTTAATTTGTCAATTTGGTATTTACGTGCTCAATATTACTAAGATGAATATTTTTATAAACAAAATTACAGATCTACTGAATAAACTGAATCTTCAGTGGTGGGATTTCAACTCATACCTCCAGATTATTAGTCCAGTAAAACCACTATGATGCAATGCTCAAGATGAATCACTGAGATTGGGTAATAACTCTATCATCACTGCGTCATGTGCCAAACAGAATGTTTGATGGTGAATTGGAAGGGAATTGACTTTCTATCGTTGAGCAACTTGGACACTCCAATTCTGACTTCTGAGCGAATGTTCACTGATGCAGAGATCCTCTTGATGCTTCTGTCCTTGTACACCAGAATGTCAGCAATACTCAGCATCATAGCACAAGTCCCATTCTGTTAGGATACTCTCACCTTGATCTTTAAACTCTTCCAATTTTTGTAGAAGTTTCAATACCTTCAACACTTTGTAACCAACAGCTGAAGAACTCGCTAACTTCATTCTGCTTCTTTCAGGTAGTGGCAATGACATTGATGACAGCAGCAGGGAATACCCTTGAATGTTCTGACACCGTGAACCATGAGATATTCCAGGCAGCTCGTCTGCATCTTGGTGCCCTGGGAGTGGTGTTAAATGTTACCATCCAGTGTGTACCAGCCTTTAAAACTCATCTCCAACAATTCCCAAAAACCCTCACAGAGGTACGTTAGTTTTCATTATCACTGGGAGGGAGTGGTGAGTGTGTGTTGGTGACTGGGGTCATGCTGTTAGGTAATATTAATGTCAAACTTTCAACATTAGTCCTCACAAAGTCACAGAACTGCTGTAGCATGAAAGTAAGCATTTGGTCCATTATGTCTGCACTGGATTTCCAAATGATTAATTCATGTGGTGTCTTTTGTTGCATTCTGAGTAATCCTGCTCATTAGTCTTTTTCAAATAACCCTCTAATTCCCTTTATAATGCCTCGATTGAACCTGCCTCAGGCAATGCATTCCAGATAGAACCACTTGCTGCTCGATAATGTTTTGTCTCTTTTCACTTTTGCTTCTTTTACTAATTACTTTAGATCTATGCCCATTATTTCTGATTGTTTCACGAGTCAGAACATTTTTTATTCATTCGTGGGATGTGGACATCACTGGCTGGATCAGCTTGTATTGTCTGTCCCTAATTTCCCTGGAGAAGGTGGTGGTGAGCTGCCTTCTTGAACTGCTGCAGTCTACTTTCTGCGTACTTACTCTGGCCAAGCCGGTCATGATTTGGAACACTTCTATCAGATTCCCTCTCAGCTTTCACTTCCAAACAAAGCAGTTCAACTTCATCAATTTTTCTTCATAACTGTCATTCATCATTCCTAAAAAACATTCTTGAAAACTTCTTCTGCAGTCTCTCTAATGCTTTTGCATCTTTCTTAAAGTGGGCCACCCAAAACCATTCACAATGCTCCAGTGACTTTTACATACTCAGAATAACCTCCTTGCTCTTGTACTTGAAGCCCTTATCAAAAGTATGACGATATTGTATGTTTTATGAACTGCTCTCTCCTCTTCTCCTGTCACCTTTCATGGCTTATACACATATACACCCAGGTCTCTGCTCCTGTGCCTTCTATTCTATTCAGTCTCTGTGTTCTTTTCAGCAAATGTACCACCTCGCATTTCTCCATATTAAACTTCATCTGCCACCTTTCTCCAATCCACCAACTTGTCAATGTCCTTTTGAAATTCTACATTGTCCTCCTCACGGTTTATAAAGCTTCCAAATCCCATATCACCTGTAAGATATGAAACTGTTCCTTGAAAAACAAGGTCGAGATTCTTAATATATATCCAACAGAGTAAGAGTCCCACCACTCCACCACAAACCACTCTTCAGTTAGAAAGCATCTATTCACCAGTACTAGTGATAGTAGGAACTGCAGATGCTGGAGAATCTGAGATAACAAGGTGTAGAGCTGGAGGAACACAGCAGGCCAAGCAGCATCAGAGGAGCAGGAAGGCTGACGTTTCGGGCCTAGACCCTTCTTCAGAAATGGGGGAGGGGAAGGGGGTTCTGAAATAAATAGGGAGAGAGGGGGAGGCAGATAGAAGATGGATAGAGGAGAAGATAGGTGGAGACGAGACAGACAGGTCAAAGAGGCAAGGATGGAGCCAGTAAAGGTGAGTGTAGGTGGGGATTTAGGGAGGAGATAGGTCATTCCAGGGAGGACGGACAGGTCAAGGGGGCAGGATGAG